ATTGCATCCTTCCATTAGTCACTGTTGTCTGCGCTGGCCAGCTGGAGCAGCTGTCTCACTTTCAGCTAACTGTTCGCTTACTATCTGGACCTACTGAAACATGCCTTGAGACATGTTGTATTCTGTCTGAGCCTGATTGTAGTCTGGAAAGCCAGTTTGAGAATTGATAGTGGTGTTGTAGTGTGGTAGACCAGTTCGACTCTAATTTCACTGGGTTGAGGGTAGGAAGTTTGTGTTGGTTGCTGTTGTTGCGTAGATTGTTATTGAATGGATTGTTGCTGTTGAGCTCCATGTTGCTGCATGGGTTGTTGCTGTGGAGCTCCATGTTGCTGCATGGGTTTTTGCTGTGGAGCTCCATGTTGATGCATGGGTTGTTGCTGTTGAGCTCCATGTTGCTGCATGGGTTGTTGCTGTTGAGCTCCATGTTGCTGCATGGGTTGTTGCAGTGGAGCTCTATGTTGCTGCATGGGTTGTTGCAGTGGAGCTCCATGTTGCTGCATGGGTTGTTGCTGTGGAGCTCCAGGTTGCTGCATGGGTTGTTGCTGTGGAGCTCCAGGATGCTGCATGGGTTGTTGCTGTGGAGCTCCATGTTGCTGGGGATTGATAACATAATGTCAAAACTTTAACAACTATGGAAAAAGTCAACTACATAAATCAAGTGTTTGAGTGCAGCAAACATATCACAGAAGTTGAACCCAGCAAACATATCACAGAAGTTGAACCAAGCAAATATATCACAGAATTTGAACCAAGCAAACATATCACAGAAGTTGAACGAAGTAACTATACATATCACAGAAGTTGAAGCAAGCATACATATCACACAAGTTGAACCAAGCATACATATCACAGCATTTAAACCCAGCATACATATCATAAACATAACCATTTTTTTAAAATCTAAAAATAATGATGAAATGCATAATACAATAGTGGATAGAGACTCAATTTGGGATAACTTTACATCACAACAATTAACATATCAACAAGTATTGACGAGTATCAACAAATATTAACGAGTATCAACAAATATTAACGAGTATCAACTAGTATTTAATTATCAGTTAGAAACCATAAAGTCAATTTTGAGAGAAGATAATTTCAGCCATGAAAAGATAAAGAAAATATTTCAGAGATGACAGAGGTGTAGCCAGGTTTTGCTGCTAGGGGGAGAAAAAATTATGTGCGTTTAAAAAGGTCCACACAAACAGAGACTTAGTTAGGAGTGGGGTGTAGGCATAGGGAACAGAGAGTCCCTAGACTAGTCGTGGCACCAAAAAAGTTGCCTACCCTGAACCTTTAATCAGGGAGGGGGCCAAAAATGTGGCAAAAAGACCCCTACTCTAGAAAGGTATTCATAAATTCAAAATTCAGGTATGTTTCTGCGCATCCTGGAATATAGTTTTTTTTATTGCTGTACCGGTACTTTTAATCGGAGAGGAACAGCTTGTGGAAATTTAGGTTCCCTGAACAGAATAATTATATAAATCCTGAATTTTTTGGTATTAAAAATATACATGCTGTTGAATTATTTTAATTTTAACTTTTTAATTAGTGTAAAAAACTTCATTAATATTATTTTTTTTAAAAAAAGGATATCCTGTCATTCCTCCACCTTAAACAAGGATGCTCATTGGATCTCAGGATTACTGTCACACAATCATTGAATGGTAAACCGGATGGTTTATTTTCATAAGATTGAAACTACACCTGAGCCGGTTACTGACCAGGATACCCGGAAATGCCGAGTATTAACACACTCAGCACATCCCCGGACAAGTGAAAACATAACCGGGTCAGGGTGTTTAAGGAAAGAATTATCTTGTCATTTTCTATAATGTGTTCCATGAGAAATGAAGGGTGCATGCATACAGAATCAGCACATCTTTTTCTTTAATTTTTTTTTTTACATAATTGTTTGTACAGTGTAACTGAATTGAATTAATAATAATATAAACTAACTAGCGATAGGTGTAAAACCAAATGTAAACTAAATGAAACTGCAAAGATCAATTGTGAATTTCACTAATTTGAAATGGGGTTCTTGTGTCTAAAATGCACTTTTGTCTTATTCAAATTTTCATTTTAAAATTTAAATAATATTAACAGTGAGCATAACAGCTACTAATTGTTACGACACTCTGACCACACCACTGCTCATTAAAAAAATAAAACTATGAAGTAGTCAGGTAGATGTCAGCAGCTAATTTAACACAAATATTTTGGCAGCATTTTTTTCTTCATTTTTTTAAAACTAAAAAATTATAAATAATTTTTTTTTTTTGTATCTTGTTTCATCTTTGTGTGCTTAAACTTAAAAGTTGACAGCTTCCACCCAAAACTAAAATCAGGTGTGTGAACTACTTCTCTGGGGATTGATTTACAGAGCCAATGGGTGAAACATACCCAGTATAGTAAAAAAGAAGATAACTCGTTTTATAACATCCTGACGCGGACCCGACGAGTATTGACTCAAAATACCTGGAGAAACCTGCAACCAGCTTGACCATAATTGAAACCCTCCAGTATAGCACATTTATTTCTTATCTACGCCATTTTTGTAAATCAGCGCTACAATTAAGGATGGGACAAGGCCAGTAGTGGAGACATGTTGGATATTGCTAATGTTGTTGGAAGTCATCTTAAGTATTTTGTTTCCCAGGAATTACATCCATGAAAAAACTTTTTTTTTTTCTTAATCAATCAAAAATTTGTTTTTTTTTAATTTATAAAAAGTTATTAAAATGTATAACTTGTTAAAAAGGCATGACTTTTGCAAAATTGGTCTCATTTTTGGGGTGGGGGTGGGAGCAGATGCCACCACTGTACACCCGTTCCCCCTACTTGCTATGCTACAGCGGAATTTTCTCCCATAAATTTACTATAAGCATAGTTAATTCAGTTATTATTTGTATTTCATGTTTAAATAAAAGACAAGAATGTGTTTTTCTTTTTTTTTTAAAGAATAAATGGAGCATCATTATAAATAAAAGTTATAATCTAATTTTTACAATTATTCATTTGCCTCAATTAATGTGTGTGGCTACTGAACTGCAACTATGGCTGATGTAGCTACTGATTTGAACTATATAGTGGCTACTGAATTGAACTACGCTGTGGCTAATGAACTGGACTATGACTGTGGTTTCCAACAGACTGTCCATCATCATCATGGCAATAGTTGGAGAAGGCTCATCTGAAGTCAGTTATGTGAAGTGATTATTTCAGAAATTTTTCCCC